TGGAATGATGCTTACAATGTCTGACAGGAATTACTACAGTCTCTTAACTGGTGTTTTAAGACATTGCCACAAATAGGAGAAATTAATAACAAATTGTATTCCAGCAAGATACATAAAAAATCCAAACAAGCAAAAAATGCCCCAGGGGGTGAAATTCCAACAACAAAATGAAAATTCCTCCTTTGGAGCAAGTCCAGAGGAGGCACCAAGTTGACAAGAGGCCTGGATGGAGCAGCTCTGCTGGGAGGGAGGGCTGGGAGAACTGGGATTGTTCAGCCTGGAGAGGAGAAGCTTTGGGGTGACCTAATTTTGGCCTCCCAGTGCCTGCAGGGAAGTGACAAGGAAAGATGAGGCCAAACTATTTACCAGAGCCCGGAGGGCCAGGACAAGGGGGGATGGGTTCAAATTGACAGAGAGCAGGTTTAGATCAGATATTTGGAAAAAATTCCTCCCTGTGAGGGTGGGCAGGCCCTGGCACAGGTTTGTCCAGAGAAGCTGGGGCTGCCCCTGGATCCCTGGAAGTGTCCAAGGCCAGGTTGGATGGGGTTTTGGAGCAACCTGGGCTGGTGGAAGGTGTCCCCAGCCCTGGGGAGGCACAGCTGGAGTGTGGGGCCAGTTCTGCTCCCTCCAGGACAGAAGGGAGGGACATGGAGAAGATCCAGGGCGGGTTGTGAGGATGCTGAAGGGGCTGGAGCATCTCTGTGACCAGGAGAGACAGAGGGGACCTCCCCAGTGCCTGCAGGGGACGGGCCAGGCTCTGCTCGAGGGGTGCCCAAAAACAGGACACCAAACTGATGCCCAGAAGTTGCACCTGGCCACGAGGAAGAACTTCCAGGGGGAGTGACCCAGCCCTGAACAGGCTGCCCGGGGAGGGGGGTGGGGGAGAGTGTCGCTCCCTGGAGATATTCCAGAGCCATCCTGGACACATCCCACGTGCCAGGGGGATGATCCTGCCCGAGCAGGGACCAGGTGGGACCAGGCCCTCCCTCCCAACCTGCCCCATCCCGCCATCCCGCGCTTTCATTTATGGAAGAGATCGACGAAAAGCTGGAAGCGAGGCCACGAACGCGCGCGATTCGACACCGAGGAGGCTCCCGGAGGAAAAAAAAAAACAAAAAAAAACCCTGAAATTCAGCCGATTAACGCGATTAACGTTCTAACGCCGCTCCGAAACGGGCACAGAAAGCCGCGCCCACGCGGCCACGCCCTTCGTGGCCACGCCCACACCGACCACGCCCCGCTGACCACGCCCCCCATGTCCCTCCGAGCCACCCGTAGCGGCCGCGTCATCCGGGAGGCGGCACCGGGAGGTGGCACCGGCGGGTCCGGTGAGTGCGGGGACACCGCCACCCCCTCGGGGACCCCTCGGGGACCCTTTGGGGACCCTTTGGGACCCCCCCCCGGCCCCTCCCGGGGCGCTCCCGTTGGAGTCCCGGGAAGGCGGGACGGGAAGCACCGGGAGGGACCGGGGGGGGACACCGGGGTGGGCTCGGCGACAACCGAGGGGGGTCCGCAACAACCAGGGGGGTGTTTTGGGGTGTTTTGAGGTGATGCTTTGAGGTTGCGGGTTGTTGGCGGAAAATGCGCCTTTTTTTTTTGGGGGGGGGGTTTATTATATTATTTTTTGAGTTTTTGAAGTTAAGTTATAAAAGTCTTTATAAATTATATAAATTATAAATAATTCGTAAGTATATGTATTTATATGTATAAGTAATATAAATGATAAAAATATATAAATATATAGTGATATAAATAATAAAGAATATATAAATATATATTCATATATGTAAATAATGAAGATTATAAAAATACACGTTTTCACTGAGAAATCCTTATAAATAATATAAATAGTAAAGAATATATAAATATATGCTTTCCATATAGAAATCCTTTTAAATAACATAAATAATAAAGAATTTATAAGTGTATATGTTTTCATAGAGACATGAGATAATTATATTTAAATATATTAATCTATTAATATATTTATATTTAAATATAATATATAATATATAATATATAATATATAATATATAATATATAATATATAATGTATAATACATAATATATAATATATAATATATATAAAATAATTATATTTAAATAATATAAAAATAAGAGTTATGTTTTCAT